TAATTCTTTTAATTCTTTGTGTGCAACTGTGTTTGCGAAAGCAATGTTATTTGCCACGATACCTCATTTAGATATATTAACTGTTATATTTTATTATCTAAATTTACTAGTAGATGTCCTATCTCGAATTTACCTCTTCCTATTTAATTCTTTCTTTAACTTTTAATACCTTGATTTCTCAGAGTTTCTTTCATAAGTATAATGAGTTAAATCTGTACTCAGTTTCCTGCTATTTTAATTAATTGAAGACTTCTATAGTTAATTATTTCATTGTCTTATACTTGCATTGCTAAACTTCTATATTAGCCTAGTTTCCTCTCCCTTGTCTAGTATAGACCATTTACATCTTTATTTGACTTTTGATAGCTTTTGTCATAGTTCACATTATCTTCTTGTTTCCGTTATCGTACTATCATATGAAAGTAATAATTTTTTGTGTAGCTTTTCTTTGCCTCTTTCACAAGGGCTGTCTATGTCTTCGCATGTCTACATGCTTGTGTTCTACCTCTTTTTATCTCAATCATTTCCAATAATGTATATTTATGTAATTTGAACTGAGCATTAAAGCACTGACTTGGATTTATGTAAGCACTTGTGTTATGTAAGATTTGTATGATTCGCCAGTCCCTTGCACTTTTTTTGTACACATTGCTTACATGCTCAGTTAATTTTCATTCAGTTTTCGATTTTATCGCATTTTTATTGAAGCTAATTTTATCTGAAGAGATTTTTATAAGACTATTGGACGTAAGAATTTATTTTAGGACCTTTCATTAAGCTGTGCTGTATCCATACATGAAAAATAATGGTATATGCGGTTCTTTAGTTAAAGATATTTTTATAGCTTAGTTTTCCTAGATGATATTGAAAGATTTGTTAATTCTTTATAGCTCCAAGTATCTGGCTTTTCCCCTTTTTTATTTATACCCTCATACTTTCAAATACTTTTTTATTTAATCACTTAGCTATGAATCTGCTTTCCTGTTTAGATAACTAGCTCAAATGAACGGCAATAGGGCAATTTTTCGATCTTATTTTTCTCCGTAATAAGTGAAGTCATAATTGGGCCTTTAATAATACTACTCAACTCAAACTTCAGAGAGTTTACTTTAGGGTTTCATTATAAATATTACGATTTTAGATCTTAAGCCCCTGCGTTCTAACATATGATTTCTTGATAGATCACATCGTTAGACAGAGCTATAGTTAATCACTCAATACCCTCCACAAGTCATGTTAACATCATTTTAATCTTGGATTTAAACGATTTTTATTCTTATTTCTGACCAAAGTCCATCGTATTTGAGCTATGCTCTTCTCCATATTTTTCTGACCTCTCTTTCTTGCCTACGCCAAAATGCACTAATTAACCTCACTTTAAACCACTTCACGTTTCTATTTATATGTTATGCTGATATTAACATTTCTCCGAATCAATCTCTCTCTGTTCCGACATGAAATTTATATTATTTTTTTCTTAGTTTTTATTCACTCTTTATTAGGCATCGAAAGCACAGTCAACACTAGTATTTTCACTTATGTCGCTACGTATGAAGCACATAAGGCGTCACCAAGCCTGTCACTCATCTTAATTCCTCAATCCTTACATTTGCCCCCACTCGGTGTAGGATCAAATTGACCTGTAGTTCAGCCTCGTGAGAGCTCACTGGTCATCCTCTATTGTAAACACTTTAATTGATTATATATAGGCATGTGTGCAACCTAATGCTGTCCTCGTTCTATTTGTTTTTCCATTCTAAATAGCTGTTCATTCACCATCCTAGTTTATTGCTATTAACACTACCACTTATTGCCATTTTGGTAAACCAAATGG